TAGCTATACGTAGGCTTTCCTCTATTTTCAATTAACTCAGTCATTCGATTGTGTACGTATATATACATACATATTATTCACGCATACACATATCGTGAAACTGTAGCTGTGTAGCTCGCAGCACGCTTCTCGTTTGATTTTTCTTCCAAGCTGAACTTCTTGTATGCAGCGGCACTTAATTCACACGAACGAATATGCTAAGTACGTAAATTGATTGGAAATCCGCATTGTTCGATGTATTCCCTACAAGACTATAATCGCGCAGTATAAGCGACGTTTGTCGTTCGTCGAAGCACTCGTTCGACAGCCTGGTAAACACCGACTGAGGACGAGTCATCCTGTCCGATTTCTGATCGCTGTACGCTCGCAACTGTTCTGGGAAAAATTCTAGGCCTTAACTTCTTAGAACTCGTGATATTTCTTGCGAGACAAACATAAGAAACGCGAACCTGGGTTGCTATACGTACATCGAGCCAAACATAAGCTAACTGTCTGTTCGCGCACGGAAAAGAGTTAGCGGAAAAGAATTTTCTGATTTTATATTACTTTTATTGGCAAAACCGAAAACAAACGCCACGCACGTAGTCTTAATACAATACAATACGCCATACTTCTTTTTGTTCGACGCATGCGCGGTCGCCACTCCCAGCGCTGCTCAGCCGACGCATGCGCGGTCGCCGATCGGCGGACGCACGCCGATCACGGTAAAAAGACGCGCGCCTTTTAAATTCAAACCGTTACACTGTCCTTTTGAGAGTAAAACTATCGCGAGTTGCTCGCGAGTGGACACTGCGTCTGAGAGTGACTGACAGAGTTGTCCTTTTGAGAGTAAAACTATCGCGAGTTGCTCGCGAGTGGACACTGCGTCTGAGAGTGACTTACTGAGAATATCGCTCAACTCTGTGAGAGTTACGACTCGAATAAACAGTTATTTTTCATAACTTTCCCATCATTTCCGGGAAAACTGACAATTACATTTTTTGTTCCTTAGAATGCGTAGAATCATGCTGTAAAAAAATATTTCGTTCCGGCCGTATGCCAAAATTGGCGTTTTTTTAACATCCTCCTTTGTTTTATTTATGAAAAGTTAAGCACCAAGCATGTGCTTTCATACTGAAATTGAGAGAATATCAAAAAGAGAATAAATAATTATTGGTTTCTGATTGCTTAGAATATAAGCATCGTGTCATCAAAGAATTCTTGTCTCAATTAATATGTCATTAATTATTTTTCATTACTTTTGGTTTTTATTAAACACTAATGTACAACAATCTTTGTAAATAATACAGACCATCGTCCGAAGAAAACGAGACGAAATATAAGTTATAAGTGTGGTCATACTCTTACCTTGAACCGCATTTTTCATACCTTTCCCATCATTTCCGGGAAAAATGACAATTACATTTTTCGTTCCTTAGGATGCGTAGAATGCGTGAAAAAATTTGTCGTTCCGGCCATATGCCAAAATTGGCCTTTTTTTCACAATCACATCCTCCTTTTTACCACAAACTACATAAAAAAAAATGTTTACACTTAAATAAAGAATTTTCGAAGAAAAACGAAGATTCCAAAAATGTGACGACAAGAAAGATAAACAAACGAAGATTCTTTACTCAACATTTATTGGAAAGGCAAACATTTTTTTCAATAAATTGGAAAATCAATTTTCTCGATACACGTAACACCGTAGATAAAACGAAAGCAAAGAAAAACACAAAATACTTCCTGGAAGAACATGTTTCACACGACGCGGAGAAACTGACGAAGAAGTAAACGTTTAAGAAACACGGCGCGAAACTCGCGTGCAAACGGCGAGAAGTTTAAATTGCAAGATCCCAGCTGAAAATTAGGATTGCACCATGTATAGGAACTTTTGATCGTAGCTTGATAAAAGTTTCCGTTAACGAGTTAACCGTGTATCACAACTGATGTCTGCAGACGCAGCAGCAACAGACCGCCAATACTTTGTTGCTGATACACTTGGGCGCAGTGGAGGCGGCTGTGTGTCTGATATTACTGATCTTTACCACTGGTTCCTGGCCCATCGCCGGCACCTGGTGCGTTCTCCACGGTTTCCTCTTGGCTCTCCTACATCCGGTCGCCCTTTGGACCGTAACTGGATTGAACTGTGACAGGTGAGTGTCTGCATGTCATATCCTATTTTATTTTTTCAACCTTAGAATCTAACAAAACCTACTATTATATCGTCCTAAAATTTCCCGCCATTTTAAACCATTTATTTTGAAAGAAAAAAACATATCTGCATTAAAATGAAACATTTTTATTGAAAATAATTTCCATAATGTTCACTTTTGCTAAGGTATTACAACAGCATTAATTTCGCTTATATCAAAATTTGAATCTCTAAGAGAAAGAAAGATGTTTTCGCGTAATTTGTTTTTGCGTAAGGAAATTGTCAAGTGAGCGGGAAACGTGAAAATCGATTGGAGATAAATCAGAGGAATATAGGGGATGAGAACTTCGATACCCAATTGATGCAATTTTTGTACAGTTGTGCTTGGCTGCGTGTTGTCAAGCAAATGGATAGGGCCATTTTTGTTGACCAGGGTTGGTTGATGTACATTTAGTTTTTCGTGGACGACCACCGATTTGTCACTCTACGACTCTACAGTGATAGCGGTACTCTATCTTAAGAAACTGTAGTGAATCAATTCCGAAGTAGACCATCAAACTGTGAGCATGATTTTTTCCAGTGTGCACTAAGTTTGAATCGAGGAGATTAATGAATATCTTTCTTTCTCTCAGGGATTTAGATTCTTCTGCATTTGGAATTAATGCTCTTGCAATACATTAACAAAAGTGTATCAAACATTATGGAAATTATTTTCAATAATAATGTTTCATTTCAATGGAGTTACTTTATTTTTTTTTCAAAATGAATATCGAATTCATTCATAGTCCACGATTACGTGTTTGACAAATTTATTCGAGAAATATTCAAACGAGTCTCGTGGATTCTAACGATTTCTATCCAAGAACCATATTCGACTATTCCTCCACAGAAACTAGGGAATCGAAGATCTTTTGTCATCCGTAACATGGGACAGAAAAATCGTGTTCGATCCCAATGGTGACGTTCAACAAGACGCGTCCTTACGTGGCACAAAGCCGACGAGCTTTTCAACCTAAGATGTCAATAGCGGTCTCCCGCATTCACTCCTGATATCTCTTTGGTCGTCAACCGATGCTAGATCTTCGATTCAATCAGAAACCCTCCGACAGACGGTCCTCGTCATCGTTGCTCATATCTATGATACTAGGGGTAAAGGAGGGCCAATGCTCCTTGAAATTACACCGTACGAACGCGTAAACGACGCCATATCACCGCCATCCCTCGTTCCTCGATAATGAACAGGATACGAAACCTTCTACCGTTGCTTTTTATCGATGTCACCGTCTGCGGAGTATTTTGTTGGAATGTAGTAAAAATGTCGGGAATACATGATGTTAACGTTATATAGGTTCGGTAGTTGAGAGTCATTTTGTCAAAAATTAACGAACAATATTTTGCTGATGTACGTAAAAAAATTTAATAACTTTGAATGTTTGGAAAGTAAAAGGGTTTATTAAAGAGAGAGGGAGAGGAAACGAAAAATGTTTCTAACGTATGTAAAAAAATCTAATAACTTTGAATATTTGAAAAGTAAAGAGGTAGAACAGAGCAGAGAGGAAACTTTGGTTAACATATGTGCGGAAAATGTTTCAAGCAGAAATTTAACATTCAAATATAGTTTTATAGAGTTACGGAAAACTTCGTGTTTTAGGAATTTTTTTATGAATCTATGATAGATGTACGGTTATCTAATCAATGTGTATTTATTTCCAATAGAGAAACAGAAGGACTTAGAAAAGGAGATTTATGTTCCTCGCAGAAAACCGTGGAATATTTTCAAAACTACAGTGTGACATTTTTAAAGAAATATAAATCGGTTATTTTGACTGTTTTCCTAGCACCGATTTCACTTGTAAGTAATGTTGGATATGTATCTACGGTGTATGAACTTGATCACTAAATATTTGCAAATGCTATCTGGTAGTATCATTGACTGATAGTATAAGTTGAAGGAATCAATAACCGGACATTTATAAACTTGCATCGAGACGATCATTTCGAACACTTCACGAAAGTAAACAGATAAATTATAAGATTCTCTACTCGAAAAGAGGGTAAAATCTGATATACAGAGTGTCCCATGTAAATAAGTGTCGCCACTAAATTCCAGAACTTTAAAAAAGACAACTTATTATTTAATTTCGTCTTTCTCCCCCCAGGTATATTTGTACGAATTTATTTAATCGTCTTTAATTTCTGAATCCTCTCTGAAATGTTTCCAATATTAACAGCTGCTGTTCCGTTGCCTGGAATATCGAATATAGCCAACGAAATTTGGTCAATATAGCAGAATATTACTTGTCTACAAAAACTGTCGCATCGAATAACATATTCGATACAGAATTTTACCTAGACATTATATGATAGTTCCTCTAATATTCCAAATGCAGAAAAAAAATGATTTTATCCATTAAAAAAAAACAGTAGATTGTTCTCGTTATCGTTACATTATTTACCTTATTAAAAATAGAAATTGTCGTTTGTCAAATACTAAATATTTTACTTCACAACGTTGTTCAACTACATGTCCAGAACTTTTATCGAATAAAAAGATAATTATTTTTTCAAAATAAAAAAATATTTCCTAAAAGGGGCATGTTACGAAATCTACGAATGTAATAAATTTCATCGTCGAGTAACACCAGTCTGAAGAGAAACTAATTTTAACAAACGTCTTATAAAACGAATATCCACTTTATTTGGACGATACCGAAACAACAGAGGGTTGGGAATAAAAATACTCGAAGACACGGGGCAACTCTTCCATCGGCTGGAAATATCGCGGCAGCCAATTTCAAGCCGATCTCGGGCGAATATTTTATTCAGGAACATCACAGGATTTAAACCATCGCATTCCTCTTCGACAGCGTGGCGACCTTCTCACTCTGTTCCCGCTCCTCTTTGCCATCTCTTCTTTCATTATTCACCCGTGCATGTTACATACCGACGATTCCAGAACGATCATTCAAAAGTAATCGCTCCGGACCGAACAGGAATGGGAGGGAGGTGGCTATAAAAAGGGTTCGATTTGAAATGTCTTTGGGAAATTTTTCTTTCTCTCCCCACCTCTATCCCCAATTTCACATGCCTGTGACCATTCGTTCATGTAATCGCCGTTGATCTTTTGTGCAGATATTACGCGATCGCCGCACCGCTACATTACTCCGCATTGGTCTCGCCACGACGCGTTGCGGTTGGCCTGGCTGCATCTTGGACAGGGGCTTTGCTCCTGTGCGTATTACCCTTTTGGGGCCTGGTCCCGCCGTACAGGTGCGTTATCTCGCACGAGGAACGATCGATGTTCCAATGAAAATCGCTTGTGTTCATCTTTTACATTTCATTTCAACGTGTTCTCTTTTTTTACCGTTTTAAGAGATTGCTTGGTTTTTTTCAGCGGTTAGTCATCGCGTGATAAATGTTCGACGTAACCTAGATACCGTTTTGATTTCCTTATTGAAACTCGACAATATTTCATTCGTCTTCTACTTGCACCCGTTAGTGTGTCAAGGCTGTAATTAATTAGATTCCTCCTGGAATTATCGAGGCTCTTACGGCGAGGAAAGATAATCGCAGACACGTATCGAGCAAACTACGACTGAGTTAAAAAGATCCAAGTGATTTGATTGTCGTCCTTTCAGGCTACTTTTTGCACGATTTTTTTTTTTGCAATCGGCGTAATCTGTATACGAAGGATCGTCGAGTGAATTATTAACACGTTCCGTGTGAATTTTGGGAAATGGAACTGAAGTCGAACTTTTTAATTGGGATCTTTTGAGACCACTTTTGAATCATCGAGTGATTTAGTAACACGTTTTCCGTGCCAATTTTAGTAAACGGAAATTTCATTAAATGGAAACAGTTATTCGTCGGCTAATTAAAAGTTCGAGTGTCAAGAGTTCAACTGATATGGATATTTTTCAAAAGTGTCAGAGCAAAAGTTCCCTTATTTATGGTGTGGATAAAATAACAATTTTGTTAAAATGACAGAAGGCAGTCATTCTTCAGTTTCGATGAAGAAATCAGAGAGTTTAGAAGCAATTATGTTGTTACAGATTCGTAGCAGATTAGGGCACTTCAGCCTCAGCTGAAACAAGACGAATAAATGATCGATTAGAAGAAAGTACTGTCACTGAAAATTCCTTCAGAACTTGAATTGAAAAATTTCGTTATGGCGTGCAACATTTCGAAAATAAAAAACGTGATCGGCCAAATCGCTTATTGAATCCTGAAGTTTCACGAAAGTTAGTGGAATCTGACGTTCGAGAAACTCACGATTTGTCAATTACTTTCATTCACTTTGCTGAAACTTGCAATTCTTCTGTACCACGGAACGTGTTAAAATAATTTGAACCGTACACAAGAGGAGAATCTCCACGTTCAAATTACCGGTGAAACTCCTTCCCCTAAGTCTGCCATTCAAACACACTCGCCGTTACCACCGTTTCAGTTAGCACATTAAACCTCAAATAGAGGCTACTTTGCATGTTCCACGAGAACTGTGCAAAACTGCGTCGTGGAGAAGCAGACAGGGAAGAATTAAAGGTTTCCCTCTGGCTGATTGTCGGTGTAGATACAGTCCAGGGCTGGGCTGCTGCGCGCCGGATTTTGGCAACGACTCGTGGGGCTTGGCTGCCGCACTTTACGGGGCAGTTTACGCTATCCTGGGCCTGGCGTTGCCCGCGGTCCTCGTAACCGTGTGCAATTTGCGTGTGCTCGGGATCGCCCGTTATCACCGGCACCGCATCGCCAGCGCAATTTACGAAGTCACCTTGAGTGCTCAGGTGACCATCACCCATCAAAGGAATCCGTTTTTCGTGCCGACTGTCACGGCGCCCTCTGCTGTCAGCCCGCCACGCTTCCACAGCGCGGCCAGGACGGTTTGTACATTTTCAGATCCCATTTCTGTTTGCACTGCATAATACACTCGTCGCGTGATTTACACGCGGACCAGAGACAATTCCGCGCTGGCAAAGCGTGTCGTGCAGAGGGACGGCTTAGTAATTTCGCAGGAACACGCGGCCGAGTTTTCATGGAGCTATGAATCCTCTCTGACTCACGTTGCTTTTACGGTTATTAGACACCGGCAGTCGAAATTTGTTCGATTTTTAACCCTGTGTCGATCTGGGTGAATACAAATTTTCTGTTTTTTATTCTTTATTTCAAGGGTTTTCTAAACCTATGTATGATAATTAGTATCGTCAGGCATAAATTATTGGTACGTGGTAATTAAAAAAGTTTCGCTATTGATAAATGGTCGAAAGTAACCAACAAAATTTTTGTCATCCTTAATAGTTATCCGGAAGATATTTCAAATGATTTATATACAAATAAAATAATAAAAATTAATATTTCTCAATCACGTTAACTTCCGAAAGATCTCTCCGAGATTTAACTTAAGCAACAAATGACTTTTGCTCGATAATTTTTTACACTAAAATCCTTTAAATAAATTTTACGTAGAGACTTTTGGTCCCTACTCTGCAATAAATTTTTATGGTTGACAAAGAAACTTTTAGATAAAACTTTGAATTTTCCCCGATCGATTCAGCTGGTGAAATTTTCAATCGATCGGGGAGGCGTCGATTGAACGCTGATTAGCAAGTCAAATCGATCGACATCATGCTGCGTGCCGATTACTTACTTCCGCTTTTACGTTCAATTAACTTCGACGTTCTTTTTCACGATGCAATTTGCCAATTCGAATCAACAACGAAATAAACACCGTGATCCACGTGAACATATATTTGTACGCGTTAATTTTCCGGTATAATAGCCCTTCAACGATATATCAATGGTTCGGGATTAATTTAACAATTCCGTCTAACGAGTTCCTTTCATTTGCTAATGTCCCGATCGTTCTATGGCGCGCAAATTTAATTATGATTTAAATTATTCCACGATGTGTATAGCGACGACGATGTTGAATTTCTAGGTAATGCAACTGGTTGGTTCTCTGTATTTACTTTATTTCCCGTATTGCGGTCTGATTCTTTGGGAAGTTTGCGACGTCGGCAATCAGCCACACCTCTACGATCACCCGAAACTCGCCTCGTTGGCCTCCCTACTGCTCGCCTGTTCACCACCCATCAACGGCCTCCTCTACGGCCTGAAATCGCAGACCCTGAGACGATCGGTGCAAAACTACTGGCGGAAAAAGGCGACGAAGTCCGAACTCCAACAAGTAATGATCGTGGAATCAAAGTAATTTCGTGTTGAACTGGTCCTTCCTGTTCTTTTCTCTCTACATATTCTTCTCTATACACCGGAAACTTAATAACACCAAAATTGCTAATTCGAAGTACCATTTCTTAGACTAAAATACGTGAGTAATTTATAAAAATTAATTTAGAAGAAATAATATACATCTTCCAGCAGTAAAAATTAATTTAAATTTAATAATCTACTGAAATTGCTAATTTAAAGTACGTATGCTGTTTTTTCAAATATACGAATAATTCTTAGAGCATCGGTTCGTGAATGAAATTTACACTTCTAAATACCGTTATCCAACATGATTATTAGTAGATTCGATTGCGTAACTTTTACACTTACGAGAAATTTATGTCACTTTTTTTATTTTTATCTCACTTAGTGTTGGATGTAACAGATAATACACAGTTTTTATTACTAACCACTATGCAGAGATGTGACTTCGCTGAAGAACACTTTCCTTGCGGTGCACGTCTTTACTAAAAAGAACACAGTCAAACAATAGAGATTCGGGATCCTATCCGTAATAAATCTATGCAAATTTAATCTCCTCGAAAGTCAGTTGCAGCAGAATTTCATTCCAGAACTTTATTATCGCGAATTTATCGCAACCTTCTCTTTTACGGTGTCTTACGTAAGAATTACACGTCACTTTGACGTACTATCAGGTAACGAAAAGAAACGCAGAAACGTTTTTGGTTATCTGATAGATTTTTAAATTTTAAATTCGTGGAAGACAATCTTCAAAATTGTCCACCCTTTTCCTGAATCACTTCTGCAACTACAGAAAATGATAAAAGAACTGTGTCAGGTGTTTGAATAAGTATCGAACTTATAGAGAGGAAAGAAAATTTTTCAAGATAGATTTAATTTGTTTTTAAACTAAATAATTAAAGAACGTTAATATTCTTCCCTTCCTTCTAACTACTTTTCACGAAATAGCAGATTAGATTATCCGCAAAATCTTTCTTTCCAATTGAAGGGTGCAGGGAAAAAACCAACAGAATCCAACAAATATAAAAATGAGATTATGATGGTATTATGCTCATAGGTAATTTAAATATAACAAGTCGTAAAGGGAAACAACCAACTGAGCGACAAGTTATTGAAGATTTAAGAATCCAAGTATTCTAAAAGTAAATCTAAGAATTACTACAGTAAAAAATGTTTTCAAGTGTTATTACATAATGAGATAAAAGAGTTCCAAAAATCTGTTTTGTCTATTACAAAATCCAGAAGAAGAGGCAACACAGTCAAGTGATTGTTCAATTAAATAATTAATTAAAACTCCAAAAATTCCCATTGTTTTTTCAACTTTGCAGGCGTTCAACAGACTTTTCCATTTTTGCTTCTTTTGGACTCATTTGACGTCTCCAACAAACTTGCAAAAAATCGGAAATTTTGCGGGTTACCGAAACTCCCTTGCAAATTAAAACCTAATATTATCCCAGGTTCAAGGAAAAAGCTCTTTCCTTGAATCCCAGGTTCTTTCTCCTGCAATATTTCAGTTTTTCGTCTCTGTTGGTTTTTCCCCTGCATCCTTCAGTTCTAACATTAAAAAAAAAAAAACGATCATCGACTGCAATGGATTGTAATCTAGGAGATCCAAGCGAGAACGCCGAGTGCAGCAGGATCGCGAAGACCGTCCGGAAGTGGAACTGGTTCTTTTTTCCCGTTCCCGCCGTTACAACGAAGGCTTAGCGAAGCGTTGTTGGCGCTGGGTTCCTGCAGAACCGGGAACAGTTTCGAAGGCAATAATCTTGGCTTTCATCGAAACAGATTGCAACCTGCTGCCTCGTGTAATACACTACGAGTGCCGACTTCCGAATCAGGTTGGAGCCACAAGCTAAAATACACCTGATTGATCCATTGCTTGTTAAAACTGTTACAAATGATCATTCGTGTGCAAAGGTGAAAGCAGTAAACTAGTGAGATCGAGCGCGAGTGCAGCCAGTCTGATGGGTCCACATTACAGAAGTGATTTCATAGGAGCGGATGTGAGCGCTGGTTGTTCAATAGCAATGAACGAAACGCCAAGGAGAAGTCCAAGGATCCTCATAACGCGAGCGTGTAGCGAGGAGAGCCAAGATAGCGGAAGTCCGTTACTGAGGAAAACTTTTCTAGCTCCTCAGGCGGACAGGGGCCCCCGCCGATGCCCGCGGGCAGAGCTGAGGGCAAAATCGCGGGCTTGTGATGTCATATACATTAATTAAAACGGAGTGGAGAAAAGACGCTTGTGGTAGATCCTTCTTAACCCTATCACTGCCATTGGCGATTTAAAAATTTTGTTTGCACCATGCTATTGGAGTATTTTGGCGCACTTCCGTATTAATTTAACCCTTAATTTTATTCCAGCGATGGTTACTACATAACTACACTGCCCGTACGGGCAATGACTGAACGGCACTGGTCTAGATTGTAGAGGGTTGACAATAATTGCCTCTATTGGGAACATCTTTGCGCCATAAGAGAAACTCTGTAGGCAATACTAAAAGACATTCAGTCATGTCGAAACTTTAGGTGGTCATGTAGTCCTCATTTATACCAAAATACCCTGAAAATTCTGATTTTTTTAACTTGTTGCGGATTTATAAGGGACCTTAATAGAAATATCAGGCAATTTTTGGTTCTGAGAACACCCGTTATATGTATATTAGGTAACGCATCGTTCGATGTGCAACAGCCAGTATCATGAATGAACGCGACAATTAAAATTATCGAAATATCGTAATGTTAGATAAATTAGCATACATGCCTGTACTAACAATATGACAGGATTCAAATTTTTTAAGAGAAACTTAGTGGATGTTTTTTTATTTAAAGACCAAATGTTTAACAACTTCATTGCACAGTTTTAAAGTGCATGAAAAGTCATTAAATTTTCATTTCAACAATTTCTTTATATCTACTATAGTCTTCAAGATACGCACATTAACATTTAACGGGCTCTTTTCACCCTGAAGAGCCAAAAAGTAGCAACAAAAAAATTACGCGATACTTCTATCGACGCGCCTTTACAAACTTGCAGAAAATAGGAATTTTCAGATGACCAAAATTCCCTTATCAGTTCAAATACTCTCCTTTCACTCTGGTCCAAACACTTTCGTCTCGCCCGAGAAAAGTTCTATCATTCCCACACACTAGGTTCGTCGTTCTCAAAGAGTTAATATTCCAACGAACTCTCCAGCACGCTACAATTCTTCTGTACACGGACATTTATGTAAATACCGTTCAACAGCAAATTATTGGCCTACTTTACACTCGATCTTTGAAATTATCCGCAAGAACGAAGATGGCGGCACTGCAGCACCGGAAGCGAGAGCAGCACTGGAAGCAGCGAGGCGAGCGTATGGACGACGGGCGTCGCTCAGAAGATCGCCAAGGCCAATGCAAAAAGCGCGTCGGACATGTGGCCAGCATCGAGGAGATTTGGCCGGGGAAAAAATTTGGAGGAAGGGGCGCTTCTGGTTGGCGCCAGACCGAGCAATAACAGCGAGAGCAGCGATACCACGGACACCACAGCGACCACCACTACGACCACGCTGCCCACCAAACCAGCCGCCATGGTGAGTGTTACAAGTGTCCGTAACGGCACACCACGTGTACTGTTTTCGAAATTTGACAATTAAGTTTCAAGAATAATTAATGTCAAAATTTCATTTTGAAAATGATGCGAGGCCATCGATTTTAAAGTAGTTTCTTTCAGAGTGTATAGTCGGTGGAACCGATACAATGAGATCGTAAATTAAAGCATTAACCCTTTGAGGACTGTAAGTTTATTAATTATTTACTGAAACAGCGAACTGTATAAAAGTACGTATTGTGCTGTGAATCGAAAATTTCTTAAAATAAACGAAATTAATCGGCAGGCTTATTTTCGTGTGTTAAAAGTCAGTACTCAAAGGGTTAAGCGGCGACACTCAGTGCGTCACTCCTGAATTAATATTTCAAATTTCTGCTTACAGTCTTTCATTAGAATTGAGAATCTAAAAAGCTGCAATCTGCAGCTTTATGATTAAGATTAAGGCTCAGACAAATTTTTTAAATATCCTGCAATGGAAGAACGAATTTCGAGTTGTCTTCGAACGATCTTAAAGGAGACTGTATCGGTTCCGCCGACTATACACATTTTTCGAAACTTTATTGTCACACCAGAAGAACGCTGAGATGAGGAAGGCCTATAGAAAAAATCCAGACGCAATCCTTGAATGTTGTTTCGTTATTTTTGAATCATGCGAACGAAGGCCGTCCAGGTTCGGTATAATGACTTGGACACGAGCCAAGACGCGACAATTGAAAAGTCGAGAAAATTTTCGAAATACGACCATCGAGAGTTTCGATGAATTATTCAAGAAACTATTCGAGAGATTTATCAATTGTCACTGTTCAAGAGACAGAGGGTGTCTCCCCCAAAAACCCCAGTCAGAAACCAAGTGTTGTCGCGTTCAGTTTATTAACCCTTTCACGTTCACATTTCTTCCTGACATGGCAAAAACAATCAATTTTGTTTTTTTAAAGAAATTATTTCCTTATCACTGACAATGCTGTAACTTACATTTCTGCCATAATAGAAAAGATAACGCAATACGGAAAGTGAAAGAAAACAACTGAAAAAAGTGCACATATGAGACGGTTAAAGGGTTAACGCAGTTCAATTTTACAATAATTAACAAACTCTAAACCGTCTCAGCGTTCTTTTTCATTCCACACTATCGAACTCCAGTATCCCAAAATAAATTCCTTACATCCCACAAAAAGGTAAAAGAAAAAGATGGGTAAAACTGTTTCGTGGCTCGCAACATAAGCATAAATGCGCGAATTAATAGCCATGACCGGCTTGAAAAACCTTCATGCGATGCAACGGACCGCGTACAGACGTTTCTCAGCCTTGAAAGCTGAAGTGCAAACAGTACGAGCGACCGTGAATTATGAACGAACCGGTTTTTCGTCCGTTTACATTCTGATAAGGAGACAACGTGACGGAATGAATAACGTCCGAAATTTCTCGTGAATGAAGAAAGATTGTTTAACACGGAACTTCTTAAATCCTATGTCTAACGCGAGAGATTTTTTAAAACGATCCTAATATATACGGGGTGGGCCACGTAAAACAGGCCGCCATCTTATCGACTCTAGTACGAGAACATTTTTATACGTAATTTAAATGGTCTCAAAGAGCGAATAAGATGGAAGAAAATTTTGTTTAAAATTTGTATAAAGTAAAAAATGTATGTGACTTTAAAATTTCCTTGGACTCCAAAATTTTGAATCAAACGTGAAACTTCCTTTCACTTTTCTTGCCTTTTCTTCCATCGAACAAAGTTTTTCATGATTTAAAAATTTCGCCATAGCTACAGAAGACAATTAGATGGCCTACCCTGTATTACATATGCATAGTTTGAAATTGACAAATATCGCATGAAAATCGTAGTAAGAAGACGTGTGATCTTGCACAACTAGATTTGTAGAGAAAATTGAACAATAGTTGTCCGTTGTGTAAACGACTAATATGCACAGGAGAACGGAGGCTATCGCGAGAAGGAGAAAGAAGAAATGAACGGTGACAAAAAGGGGAGAGAACGTAGCGAAAGTGACAACAGTTGGAGCAGCGTCGACGAGATCGAGTCGAAGGAAATGGCGGACAAGAGCATGGAGGAGGAGGATCCCGAGAAGATCGAGGAGGAGGCAGAGATAGAAAAGTGCAAGCAATTAAGGCGGAAATCGAAAACGATTCGCAAACCGGACGTTCCTCAGGATTGCAAGGAGGCATCGCAACGCAGGCCTCTCCTCACCTCGTCATCCTAAGTTCGATCAATCTAAACGGACGTATCTTTCTTACACCTTTAATTTATTATCCTTTATTTATATTTATTTCTTTCCCTTCTCTCTCTCTCCCTTTTAATAATTCACCTGCTCAACACTTTTCCATCGAGTCTCGCAAAACGGGAATTGTTGTTTTTTTTAACGTGTATCATCCGAAACGAGAGTTCGAGTTCTCCAGATCGATTGTCCGCGACGAACAAGCCTGACGTGTCCCCGTATGCTCGATATCAGCCGCAATGTATCGACATATCCTGAAATTATATTTTTATACTTCCACTGAGCCACTGAAGAGCAACGTAAAAACGAGAACACACCGCGGTCGACGCGGTCACAATGCGAACGAGAGAGGAGCGCGCAAGATTTCACGCGAGAAAAAAACTCGTTTGAAAGTTGATGATCTTGCCTGATCATCTCGTCGTCGTCGTTGTGTATGGGGAGGGGAAAGTGGAGGAGAAGCGCCGTGAAAAAAGCTCGTTGTAATGATTTCCTTCGTCACCTCGCCACGGCAATACTCGCGACGAAAGTTCGCCGCGGATCGTCCCGGCGAAACCGGAAGTCCGCGGGAAAGTTTCGCCGTGACAAATAAAACCGCGACACCCGAGAAAGTTCTCGTCACAATAGAAAACTCGACTGGAAAGAAGAGAGAAAAAAAAGAAGAAAAACGTGTGACCGGTCGTCGGTCAAGCTTGGAATTTAGCGAGACAAAGGGCAATCATTTCTCTCATCGTTTCGTTCCGACGTTTCTCTAATTAATTCGTTCGTGAAAGATGGAAATTTGTTGGAATAAATGTTAAAAATCGATCAAAGTGTTCGCTGTTCTGAGAAATGAATAGGTATCGAACAGACGTTTATTTGTGAGGGACCATTTGATGGTTTTATTCGAAAATGTTTCTGTTAAGACTGCATGCTGATTAGGTTATAATAGAAGAGACATAATATTTCAATTTTTACCGTAGTTCGATTATGTTATTGATTGTTGGTAAAATAGACATTTTAATTAAGGTGACTGGATTTCTCAGGTTCAAAGATCAGATATATAAAGAGCAATTTAAACATTGTAAAAATAAAGGACAATTCGGGACAAAGCGTGAAAATTAGATTCGAGACTAATTTGGTCGTCTTAATTTTCATCGATCCGCAATAATATCCGAATTTCCATTATTTACGAACGAGAGAAAACTATATTTTAACATCGAGTTTACTGAAATATTCTGAGAAACGACGACGTTTCTTCGGAGTGAAAATGAAAAAAAGGACAAGTGAAATTTCGATAGGTATAGGAGATTAGCGAGAGGAACTCATCGTTCATCGAGAGAATTTAATCACTGATACGAGGATCGATTAACGTAGACGGACGTTGATCCGAGTCTATTAATAGTAAACGATGACTATGTTAAAACGATCACATGGACGAGCAGATACACATTGATAAAGAGTAATACGCCGAACTCTTTTTACTAGCAAGTTTGTACAGTTGTTTGTGAACCAAGGCCAACTATTGTGTTTGCACCGACACGGTGAACCATTCGCAATTTAGGTGTAGCAAGAGAATCACCTAAAAAATTAACCGGTAATTAATATTGGTGGTTTATTGGAATTGATGTTTTGAATTTTGTAGACAATGAATGCGTGTGTATGCGAGCGTGGACGTGTGCGCGTGTGTGTGTCACTTCATTGTGTGAACACTTTGCAAGTTCGAATGCTCTAATTCTCGAGAATCGTTGAAATGAGGAGAAATTATTTATTGTTCGTTAAAACGTGGAAAAATGTTTACGAAATGAATAAAAATTTATTAGAAGATATCGCGTTCGATGATCGACATAATTAATTTGCAACATATCGATAAAACTTGTTTCGTGATCAGTGTACGTTAGAGTTTGAGTAATCTCTTTTTAACAACATGTTTCTTTTTTTCATCTGAAAATTATTTTCGGAGAACAGATTGTGATGTAACAAATTGCAAGTTCGAATTCTGAGAATCTTTATTAGAGAGAGAGAAAAAAAAAAAGAAACGTCAATTTACTCGATCTCTTCAGTTTAAAGATCGCACTGTCACGTGGAACGTTTACGTAACGAACCGCAGGGATGTGTTTGAGTTTAATTTCCGTGCTCTGGCTGTTGCTTACGAATTCGTCAATTAGAACATAAGAAAACGATCTCATTGTTTGTCGATCTCATCGAGACAGAGCACAGTCATTTTATCATTCCCGCGTGAAGAACTTTGTCGGGTCCGCGTGTTGACATTAATGTTCAATGATATTAAGATACCGCGATCTACGTGATGTCTGAGTGTATGTCGTTAGTGCAAATAAACAAGGAAAAACGTCGTAAATGTCAGTATTTCTGGACTTCGTTGTTCTTTTCTTTCAAAATCTACCCCGTAAAGGAACCTAGAAATCTTGAAAGTCGACGAAATATTTATAAAAATTTAGAATTAAGTTTTAGATTGAAAATTTAATTTTAAACTTGAAAACAAAAGAATTTAGAATTTAAGAAACAATCATAAAAAAAGCCCCAGTTCCTTCGGATAAACGATTACCAATAAAAGTCGTGCTTTATTTATTATTTGCTTTGTAGCAAAGTTGATTTGAAATATTTCAAAAGAAATCGTAAGAGAAGCTAAGTTTCTCTAGATAAATGATTTCCAATAACAGCTGTCCCTCTCTGACTTATTTTATTCGTTCTTTGCTTTTTTATCGTTCCCCTTTTTTCTTTGAAGTTTAATCGCTTGTTAACAGAGAAGAAGAATCGATACAATGTTACCAGCAGGTGCTCCATTAACGATGGCGCATTGTACGAGACGTTAAGGTTCGTCACTTAATAAGGTACTCGACGATACCATTAAACTCGACATTTTCCGAATTATTATTACACCAACCAGCTGAAACTCGTGATCGAGCAACTTGTAATAGATTTTCGAGAGAGGTTCGTCGCAGAATCGCTTCCGTTTCATGCCGACGGCCACCACGGCTAACTCTCTAAACTCATTTATCCGTGCAAACAGCTTACAAAATTAATTTCAACCGGAGGATCTCAGAGACACTGAAAAATTATCGTTCCCAATCTCGTAAACGCGTGCTTCACACAAACACTACTCTGTTCGAAAAGTTTCTGGTCAAAGTACATAAAATACAAATAATTATTCATTTATTTGGCGGTATCTGTTTGATCGCCATCGAAATAATTCCCCAATTACTTGCAATACACTTGTGTCAACGATTTTTCCAATTTTCGTAGCATCGATTCTGAAGTAACTCATTTAGACAATTTCATTTTATCGCCTCAGCTGATTGAAGATTGCTTACGAGATTATGGTAGTTGAGTTTCTGGTCAAAAACTACATATATCAGGAATATCATTAATTATAGATGCAATGAATCTTATAGCTACAATTATAATAATAAAGAAATAAATCAATTAATTACGATCAAATTTGATTATTTCCAGGATCGGTTTCTATTGTAGAAAATTTATTGTTAGTATCTTTACCAGTTCCAGCTAGAGAAATTGCAATATGAATTTTTTTACCGAAACATTCATGTTGATTTTTCGGTCATCCAAAAAATGACCAAAATTGATAACACCACATATTATCATCGTATGTATTCTAATTTTGCCAGAAAATTTGGTTTAATATTTCATATTATTACAAGTAAAAGAGGAAAACAAATTTTCTCATAAATCCAACCATTTTCTACGAATCGAATATTATCATTGTATTATTATAAAAATAAAAAGGAAAAGAGATTTTCTCATAAATACGCTTCTCACCTGTACACCTGTACCTATATTATTAATTATTAACTGTTTAACCAGTCGATAGAAACTCTTCATCTATAGTTACTCGAATTAATATTCGAGCACCCTTTAAAACAGTATAACTTTCTTAAAATTGAACCAAAATTTCGTTCAATTTAAAAAAAAAAATTGGACCAAAATTTCGTCTAATTTAAAAAAGAAATTGGACCAAAGCTTCGTCCAGTTAAAAAAAAAAGAAAACTACACCGTTCTAAAGAGTGTCCCAATATTAATTCGAGTGACTGTACCACGCTGCAATAATCTTCAACAAATTTCCCTAATCTAACCAAAATTTCCATCGAACTAAGAAACAACTTCCTAACGCAACAATCTGATTCCACGCTGAAAGCTGAAACGGGTGCGTGGTACGGACGAAGAGTAGCATGCTTTCACAATTCGCGAGCTGGAGGTTTGCAAAAAGCGGTGCACGTGTAGCAGCGCGAAACAAGGCCTCCTTTTAGTATCCGCAGTCATTTAGACAGCAATCCTGTCCCCTATCGTCTGGAATTCAAATAAGGGGAATTAAATTCGTCGGAGCAGACAAGAAACAACAATCCCTTCTCTACCACCTCGATCAGGCCTCGCAAACACGTTTCGAGATGTTTTCGTAGAGAGTCGAACCGGCCGACTGTGTCAATCCGGCCTGAGCACTTGCGTGATAAACCGTGTTGGTTAGAGCGACGCGCCAGCCAGCGTTCGATGCTCCGTGTGTGACAATCAGATCTATCTCGCACGATCTACTTTCATCGATAACATCGTGTATGTTCGTCGATCGTTCTACACGCTCCACCTTTGAACATCGGCGACAAGTGTGACTTTAAAATCGTGCAGTTCTTCACAAACGAAGCTGGGATGAGATGATACGATTAACATACTCGAGAAAGAAAACCGATGTTTAAGAAAGGTAACGATGAAATTTCAAATGGTAACGGATTCAATGACACACACCCGGTGACTTTCCGTAGAAATTCCAGTTAGAATTGGCATAAGTCCTGGTTCTTATTGTTATTACGCTTAACGCTCGACGTTCGTGAGAGAGGGAGAGATCGTGTCGTGTTGAAGGTTTGATTGAGTTTATGATCGAGCTGTTGCTCTCGCGAGAACGTTCGTCTGGAAAATGGTTCAGCTTCTGTTGTTAATTGCCTCAATTCGGGGACGTGCGAGCGTGTGAAAATTACACTTTCCGCGTTATCTTCGTGCGAAATCGTACGCGCGCCTACTTGCCAACGAACGCGTGCAATACCACACTGTCTTTATCGGTCGCTCATGAATATGTACGATCATTCTCAACGCTAGACACGTGGATCGCGGTTTTTCGCGACGCTACTGTCACTTAGTACTGTTCCAATTCTCAGGCTGTCACGAAGTGACCAAATGATTCGCGTTGGATGACGATCGGAGTAACCCTGTGCTTTGAAGTTTCGTGAGATCTGGAGAGAAGATGACGAGGAGAAACAGCCTGGCGGAAATCGAAGAGACGCGGAAGGAATTGAGGTAGGATTATTAAAAAAAGAAAGAAAGAAATCATTGTAGACGAGAAATTTTCGTTTTACGTGTTAAGTGAAAAATAATGAAAAATTTGTTCGTGCCGACAAGTAGGAATTTTTATCGACCGTTGATTACCAATGAATTATCCGTTGAGTGGTTTTTATCACTGAACGTGACCAAGCAAAAGATAGATCACGGTTCCGAATGTCGTTCTCTGTGTACGTGTTTTGCTGAATCACATTATGCAAGGCTTAGCGGTTCCTATAATTGTCGAATATCCGCTATAAATTGTCGCAATTGCATGCCACTTCCCGATAGTTCGCCCTGCGCGCGTTCTACGACCCAGATATGTAACTCCTCTTAATTGTACATTTCATTGTTTCGGTGTAATATCACGTTACCGTGAAATCGGTATTTTATAACCGAGTATCGTTGTATCATACGAATTTTTCAATTCCGTTCGTAACTTTTTATCACGTGAAAAAAATTTGTGAACCGGATGACGAGATAGTTTTCTACTTAAGTAGAAAAATGGCGTGAAAATTGTAAATTGAGAAGTTCTAACCGCGAAGTTATTTTTAACGAAGCTCATGATACGCAATACTCTCATTGTCAATTCTCATGGATTGCACTCACAGGCTACTTTGGAGCGATAATGACTATCGCGGTCAAATAAGTTATTCTACAGGTAATAAATAACATGTCGAGTAGAGACGAAAACATTTTGCTGTCGAGAGATAATAAATGTATATAACATAATAAATGTTTCCTGCATTGTGTCTGAAAATATATCTTATATTTTTTACCGCCTCGTACTTCTTAATTTACTCACAATCAGTGTGATTCTAATTCCCGCGAAATTCAATAACCTATACGCAGCATCGTGTGATTATGCTGTTATTATATAAACGAGATTTCAATATACGATTCAGACGTTAATATTTTCGAACGTTAATAATCCTAATAATTGACTACACGTTGAATTATATACTTCGATGCTTCGAATTTTTATCGCTTGTATCCGTAGCTTTATCTTGCAATCTTTTCGTCTAACGATAAATCATATAAAGCTAACCGTCGTAAATTGTTCTCAAGATTCATCTATTCTTTCCTATAGTAATCAATAACAAAAATGTATAAATAATATTGCCAAAAATGTTACCTATAATTATTAAAAAAGCTGCAGAAAGTGTTCCTTTTACTTGTCAAACTTTTCAAATCGAGGCTGCCACATGTGCACATGACTCACAAGTCAGACTCCGAAACAGGTCTGCGCCAGTGGCATAAAATGCGCAAGCCCAGATTGATTTTCTCCGGTCAGCTGCTGTTGTTCATCTTCGGACGATGCAGTTAATGTATCGCACGAATTTCGACGCACGAATTTCGCTGGTCCTCGATAACACGAAACCGAGGACAGTGCGAGAAAATTCGACAGTGAATGGTGATCAAGAATCGTCTGCCTCTGACAGTGAGTGTTCAATGATGCGCCAAACGAGAAAAGCTAAATCTAAGGATGTGTGTCTAGTAGGACTCGTAGCGCGATGTGTTTAGGCGAATCGTCCAAAGGTGGCGATAGCCGTTCCTTTGGCATTTCGATGACGAGATCGTTAACGTTACATTTTATGGTTCCTTTTTTGTAACAGAGAAAAAACATGACCTCCTCACCCTCGTCCAGCACCAGTTCCGCGTACGCCAGTACTGACGATATCCGTCAGTACTATGGCAACGATAAACGAAATTTCTTCGATTCGGATGACATCGGAACCGCTCGGCTATTGCGTTCTTACTCGCCTCATCGCAACAAAGCGAGAGGATTCATTCCGAGACTGCGAATCGACAAGTGAGTTACGCTTTGCGCAGGTTACCGCGAATTTGAACGAAAACAGACGACACGTCTAAATTTGACGCAATAGAATTATTACAAGAACATGTTTTAAAGTTGAAGTCGGTATAATGTTTGTAAAACTTTCGAATGACATATCCACTTGGTACCAAGTGAATGAAACGTGTTATTGTACAAATTTTAGGGGTCCGTTGTTTGTTAAGATAATAAAAAGAACTTTTAGGAGAGATAATAAAAATCATGATGAACGTAAAATTTTATAGATAGTACATTCACCAAATATAGGCATAAAAGACAAAATATAAAATCGTATACTTGACTTGTGTTTGTATTGTATTTTGAACATTTCTTAAATGTAATATGCTGACCATGTATGCATATATTATTGAATATTGTTTCGTCAAATATATCGTTCAGTTTTAATTCTATAATATGGACTTATACATTTTATAAAAATTAAGCTATTTAATTTGAATGTAAACGCGAAATACAGGTTTCTAGATTAGCGATAGAGTGCACGTACTGAATGCAGTTGCACATAACCTCTACGGTAATTTTCCTTTCACTTTGACGCTGATTCACATATGGATTTCTTGTATTTATTACTTGTACCATGAATATATAATGAATTTACCATGTACTGCTGCATAAATCCTAGTGCACCATGCAGTCTAGATCAAAAAGTTTACAATGAAAGCTACTTACGTCAGAGATTTTTCAAAAATAGTCACAATCCACTTGCCAACAACCATTCACAGACACTGACTGCACTACGCTACCAGCAACTCAAATAAAAAGTCACAAGATATTCTTTATTTTATCTTCTCCCAAATTTTATGATGTTTATTATTACTTTATCTTAACACTCCATACGAGATTGTACTTATCCTTTTTCATAAATACTTTTAATGCTTTCACAAACAAAAGATATTTAATTTGAAAATTAAACGTAAGTGCAGGAAATAAAAATCGAACGTCAGTGTTTTTAAATCGATATAGATGCGTATGCTATCGACAATTGTATAAGCATCTTAGAGAGTAAGTTGAGCGAACGTTGCGAAAATTATTGTTTATCGTATAAGATACGCAATCATCTTTATTAAATGTATAAAGGACCATTTATTTTCAATTTTCAGATCCTACATTAACACCAAAAGACTTGTAATAGCCGCGGTAATATTGACCTCGATAATTCTTGTGATAATATCGATCTGTAGCATCTATGGAGTTAGCGCGGACATAGAAATTGAAGAGAATGAAGAAGTACCGCCTGATCCAGAAACAGTATTGCCTCCGTCAGCTAGTAAATTGAGAGTTTTTAAACATGCTGCTGTTTGCGCGGACGGTGCACCATGTGCAGTTGTTGGCAAGTATGTAAAATTAGACTTTCGATGCTGTTTGTATTTACAACATCAAATGCAAATATTTTAAATATTATCTTGACACTTTAAATATTTAAATGGAATTACTGAATACATCGATAAATTTTTCACAGATCAATGTTAGAGAAAAATGGTTCGGCTGTGGACGCTGCCATAGCCGCGATGATTTGCAATGGTCTCGTGAATATGCAAAGCATGGGCATTGGGGGTGGATTTTTTATGACAATTTATGACAAATCGAGTAAACGTGCGTACACATTAACCGCAAGAGATCGTGCTCCATTAGCATCCAATGCTACGATGTATGATGGACTGCCCAAGGAAGCATCATTTATCGGTACTTACGCCGTTTCACCCTCCTTTTCTTTGATGAATAAGTAAACAAGCATGAAATTTATATTTTCATGAATTCCATTAGGTCCGTTGGCCATCGCTGTTCCTGGGGAATTGGCAGGGTACTGGGAGGCTCATAAACGTTTCGGTAAATTACCATGGGCTGATGTATTCAAACCTTCCATTGAATTATGCGAGGAAGGATACAATTTAACAAAAATCCAACACGACGGATTCAGATATAACTCAAAGAATATTTATAAGGATCGTGTATTGAAGTAAAGTCAAGAATGATTTTTTTAATCAATTGTCTGTAAGTCGGATTGCAAAATGTACAAGCTTCTTTTGCTTTCAGAGAACTATTCGTAGATCCAGAAACGAATGATTTCTATAAGCCGGGTACGATTATTAAGCCAAAAGTACTTTGCAAGACTCTACGTATTATTGCGGAGAAAGGGGTCTCAGAATTTTATAATGGAACTTTAGGCGAAACTTTAGTGCAAGATATACAGGAAAAAGGAGGGATAATAACTATGAAAGATTTGAATAGTTATAGGTATTTACTATGAAACTAAACAAGCGTCAGAAATTATCGTTTAAGAAGATGATCAATTTGAATTTGAATTATCTTCAGAGCCACGTGGGACGAACCCCTTCAATCGAATCTCAGCAATGGAATGAAACTTTTTACGATCGGCTTGCCCGCGAGTGGAGCACTTCTCACATACATTTTAAATATCATGGACGAGTTTAACTTTACGCCTGACAGTATAGCTGATTTCAACCGAACCACTCTCACATATCAACGAATGATAGAGACGTTTAAATTCGCGTACGCATTGAGGAACGATATGGCTGACAAAGAGTTCGTCGATATGAAGGAAGTTAGTAAATAATATAGTTTAATGGACAAACAAGTTATCTTGTTCAAAACACAAAAGAGTACCTACTACTTGTTTTTTTTTTTAGAAAGTGATCAGCACTTCAAATAGTTTTATCAGGTGTTTGTGGATATACTGATACACTATCAGTAAAAATGCTTGAGAAAGACGCGGATTACGTTCCAAAGCCTGAAACAGGATTGAATTAATTTACAGCTCATCACTGTAATTCTGTTTGTTTAAGTTAACGGAGAGTCTAACATCGAGGAGTCATGCGCAGAAAACGCGAATGAAGATAGACGATCACAAAACGTGGGACGATCCGACGCACTATGGAGCATCCACGTTGAGCAGCGCGAAAGATCAAGGAACTGCACATGTTTCAGTATTAGCGCCAAATGGAGACGCAGTATCAGCTACTAGTACTATCAATTTCTAGTATGTTTACCTTGTAAACGTTACAAGATTTCTACGTGGAATTTTCCATTAATATTTTTTAGTTGATTGAACAGAGAAGAGTTAAACAAAGTAGCGAAATAGATTTTTAATTTTTTAATCAGGGAAGATCAGTTAACTTGTTCACCAATACTTAGACTACAATAGTTTATTCATTGAGAGACTATTTATTTTTTATTATACTGTTATGTTTGTATTAAACATAAAATGCATCGTATTCGCATTTGCAATTTTTATTCAATTTTAATTTTAAACTAGAGAGATTTAATTACATACAATGTATTGTATTAAATGATTAATGTATTTATTAGTTTTGGAAGCGGAGTGGTCAGCGAAAACACCGGAATACTATTGAACAATGCGATGAACGATTTTGGTATACCATCAACAATTAGTTTTTTCGGAATTCCGCCAAGTCCAAACAATTACATCGCTCCTGGAAAAAGGCCTTTGTCGTCGATGGTACCCTCGATCCTGATCGACTCAAATAACGAAGTAAAAATGGTTGTCGGTGCTTCTGGTGGTACTAAGATCACCACGACAGTTTCTCAGGTCAATATTACTTCACTGATTACTTTATGATGCATTTCGAAAACACTGTTCGATGATTAACAACGTAATTAAAATAAAAATAATCAATTAATTGCTTAACTGAAATAAAAAACGAATCTGCAAAAATTAACCAAAGCAAAACTTTCTTCTCTTTTTTTATATTCAAGTATATGATAAATTTGTAAATGTCTGCCTTCTATAAAGATACTTCATCAACTGTGTTACTTTTTAAAATTCACCTCTTCAGATAATGGCGAAGATCATTTGGATGGGTCAAACGGTGAAGGAAGCTGTGGACGCTCCCAGAATACATCATCAACTGTTTCCAGCGGGGATGTCTTACGAGTACGGCGTACCAAAGCAGGTGATCGATGGACTGAAGAAGATCGGCCACAAAACGGCTCGTTACAGAGTTCGTGGCAGCGTAGCCTGCGTTATTTTCGTCAAGAACGAAACAGTACACGCGAACGCGGACTTCCGGAAAGGGGGAGACGTGTATGGACTTGATTAAACTCCATTCAAATGAATGATTATCAACAGGACGTAAATGGAATCTTCCAGTATATAAATCGCTGAACTGTACTAGCGAGAATCGATCCTACTATGTATCGTTCGAGTCTTCGATATTAAACTTTTCAACGTTTCATCGTGAAAGTATATAAAAATCGTTTTAAAACGAAACTTCCCATGGTGTTGTGCAAAACTAAAGTCCTTCAATAAAACTTTTACACGTGTTACTTTTCGACATTATTTAATTTGTTTGTTCTTTTCCACTATGTTGCGGTGCAACTTAGTTTGTGAACCAAGTTTACGTGAATGACGAAAATAGTTTTTTCGTTTTTATGCTGATTCGCCGTATGAGTAATCGCAGTGTAGAAACGTTCCAGTAAACTTTTACTCGAGCTAGTAAGATTGTATCTAGTATGTAGTATATATTACATATCGATCCGTGTGAAAATTTATGCACGAACGTTCTACTATTAAGTAACCACTAAACTATGCGACAATGAATCTAACATTTTCCCAAAGTTCATAAAAAGAGGGATTCTTCTCCGTTAAAAAATATCGCGCAGTTGAATCGATGAATATTACGCGTGAAATGGTGCAATGTAAAATACAAATTGTTTCACGAGTACAGAAACGTGCATTGTATGGAATCTATTTTAACGCTTCTTTATATCCTAAACGAACGTGTGGAATGTTCAGCAAACATGCACTCGATACACATTCAAGTCTTGGATCAATATGGTCTTTATTCGTGCAGACATTTGAACGCTTTTCAGAAACAAATGATTAATTAACTCATGCTACTTACGTATGAATAACACCTATTGTCATTCCTATAAATTACTAAATAAATTTTTCACGAATTTCTGCAGTATAATTTAGAGATAATTATTTACGAAACCTCTGGACTCTTTAAATTATAATTTGTACCTGTACGTTAGTTTTGTAGAAATGCCTCATTGAAATTCCTTTGTTGCATACCCCTTACATACCTTTTGATATGACTAGATATTTATGAACATTTTAATTTATTTAAAGTAGTCGATATTATTGATGGTTTCGAGATAGTAACTTCCACTTTCTAATTAGAATGTTTCTACGAAATATTTAAAATTAAGAAAGATAAGGTTAAGTAGCGCATCTACTCATGTGCGCGGGAAGAAAGTATAAAAGGATACATTGCAGATGGCGTTAATCGAAACGTATCGAACTCAAAACTCGTTTACAGCTTCGTCGCCGGTACATATACATATATATTTGTTTTTTTCAGTACTCTCAGAGTGCTGTGGTAACAAGATCAGATCGATTAACGGGATTTCATACCTATGCGGCATCATTTCAGTTGTTTGCAATTTCGTGAACTCAATAATTTTTGGCAGTTTCGATCGACCTTTCGGTCGGCAAACTGCGTATTATTTTTACGCTGGAATATAAATGCGCACGCAGCTGTGTCGTTAAATGTACTGCATGTTTTGTTGAACTTTTTTCAAACAATGAAATTGAATGTCACCGTTTTATATAGTACATCTGTGAACGATATTTAGAGAATTTTTTATTAACAACCTTGAAAAACACACTGTGTTCCGGACGGTAATATTTTTAACGCCGGACGTGTTGAGTCATAACAACCTTCGATAAGAAGCAATGAGAATTTAAAAGCCATTGTAGACTGTACATTTATCAGTATTAATTTATAAGTACCCTGACTTATTTGTTTTGAAAAATACAAAATTTGTCTTTTAACATAACATTATTTTCTAATTTTTTTACAAAAAAGAAAATTATAAATATAAACATTATTCTCATAGTACGATAAGTAATTAAGGTCAAACGAAATACACTTGAAGGCAATTGCCAATAAACAGAGTGCGATGTGCGATTGTACACGTAAGTCTAAAACGCGGAACGTAAATATACACTTTTGTGCGACGTGTACGTCGTCACATTTATTTTTACGTGGGAGACTTAATTAGCATTTGATAGTTACGCGGGATATTCGATAATTAGAGCATGTCTATACTCGAACACCAATATCAGTCGTTCGAGAGATGAATCCGGTTAACCTGGAATTTCGTCAGTATAGCTACGTCTTCATACTTCGTCATTTTAACGTACAACGAACTACCACAATGTAGTATAGAAAACAGGCTTGATATCAGCTCTTTTGCCACGCCCCTTATAGATATATTTATATTTCGTTTTCTATTATGTCTTTTGGCGCAAGTCAGCGAGGGTAGACGCAAAATAATCAGCGATGTTTCGCTTGCGATGGTAGGGAGACCTCTACTTGTTAGAAGTACATGTGTATGTAACGAGACGCTGACCGCGCATGCGTAATAGATCCAACATTTTGTTTGTTGCCAAAACATACGGATTATCTCATATGACAGAAATTTAATACACAAATCTAAGACTTATTACTATTTGTCACGTAACAATGCATTATTCACAAAGTTGAATGCGTCCTCAGAACGCTTAAACTGAGAGACAAAGCTCAAGAAAACGTTTCAAGATTACCGTTGAATGTACGCATCGTTACCAGGCTAAGATGACATGCTATCAGGGCTGTCTATACGTGGTATAATATTTTGTACGCTTTAGTACTGTGCATAGATTTCTTATAGTAAACAATATTAGATATTGACCCAATGATCTCAATTATTGGTGGATTTCCATCAGATTGCGTAAGATACACATATGCAATATCGTTCATGTTTGACATGTTAAAAAAATTTGAAAAATATTGATTTAGGAATAAAATATAATTTTTTATTGAACAAAAAGTTTTGTAACCCTTCTCTATTGGTTATAAATGTTTTCATTAACCTCTATAGTCGATAATACGATGAATGTTAAATGTTTTCTTGAAATTTTGAATTCCTGAACATTTTTCGACATACGCTCTTTCACTTGTTATACCCATTTCTATACGCAGCAGGAGTTTAAATTAATTTCTTTATCCACAGTAAATCGAATCAATATCGGTTTATGTTATAAAATGGATTAGCAAAAGGATTTAACCTGTTAAACCGATTCTTACATCAGGTATTCAAAATTCTAGAGACATTACTGAGTACTGCGCTTGCGTAGTAGTTCTTGAACTACGTATATAAGCAGCTTTAGTGAGCGGCGTCCAAGCATTAAAGAATAAACGTGCGATAGTGGACGATTTTTCGGCCGTGTTTACGCTATTATTTTTTGAGTATTTTTGAAAATACAAGAACTATGTCTGACTACTACGTTGACGAATACGAACACTTCAACTACGATTACGACAAGCATATTTTCACGGGTCACAGCGGCAAACAACGAAGCAAACGAGAAGCTCTTGCACACACAAATCATTTCGATCCGTGCGGCCATTCCAGAAAGATCCTGACTAAACTGATGAATTCCGAGCACAACAAACGAAATACTGGAAAAGTCAAAGCATAGACGGTAAGTGAAAAACGTTTGTCAAATTACGACGTAATTTGTGATGTTCGTATTGTGTTACGTTATTTATTTGAGTGCAGCTGTAAAGGTCTGCAACCTTGGCCGGGTTTGTGCGTGTTTACATTATTGTTTTCATATCTATGTGCGATTTACTGCGCATATTCGGCGACGCAATTAAATGTCAGTGAATTCGAGTTCACATTTTACTATCTACTCCATTTTTTATTATTGCTTATGCTTGTTTTAATAGCACATTAGTATTACTGTACTTTGTTTTTTTTTTTATCGCTGGGCACACCATTACAAAGGTGACTCATTTCTTACTTGACTGTTGTCACTTTTTATTGTTCTACACGGTGGTATACATACGTCACGAAATACGGAATATTTCTCAAACCATTATTCGAGAATAGTTAATATTAAGATGATTTGTATTCCTTTTTTTTTGTTGCAGAAGCTCGGAGTTGCTGTCCTACTTTTGGAGAAAGAATTTGTCAATTCTGACAGATCAAAACTTCTTAAACACCCTTCTTGAATATAACAAATAATTTTTTCTATTTTCTTTATTCTCAGCAATGCATTTAGTCGCTGAATATAGATCCTCACTTAGAATAAGATAACAATTAGTACTTGGTACAAATATTATATCTTACAATCATTAATAGTCATATCATATGACTTGTAGGGTAACCATCTCCTAAGTAGCTACTCTTGATTCAGGATTATCTGAGACTAGAGTTTTCACGATATGTTAGGAAATCAAGTAATATTCATGTTGGATTCATGCACAGTGTAAAACTTTATAGGTATTGAGCATATGATTATAAATGGTTTATTTAATTGGTATTAAAACAATTGCTCAATTTAGAAAGTAGGTACATACTTGACAAAGCTGAACATTTTATTCAGTGTGAATATTGAAACAATGCATTTGTTTTTCAAAGTATGTTAAGAGAATTTTTTGTTAAGTTCCGAAAATTGGTTCAATTTTAAGTTTACAATAAAATTGAAAGTATTAGATAAAGATCACTGTATAATTTTGATGAATAATAAAACTTTGTAATTACTAAAGAAAAC